GCCAACTATATTCAAACACGTGCATTGCACGTGCATCAACTAGTAGTAAAAAGAATAAGCAAAATGAATTTTCTTAGCTATGTATAGAGAAACATGATCATTTGCAGAAACAGAATCTTTTTAGCCTGAAAAAGTGTTCTTCTTTTCCTGAACATATTTTCATCCCTACTACACTGGTGAAAATCAGTTCATATACGCTGAAGCAAAGACCTCACTTCAGAGCAATGCAAGTAAATGTAGAAGTCGATCATTGTTTTCTTTATATTTGGGACCTTTTGAATCCATGAATCCCACCTTCGCAGCAGCAGGCATTGTTACATCCTATTAAACACTTTTTCATATTAAACATGAAACTAAAATTAATAAAGGCGTTTATGGTTGTGATAAATCATTAGTTTATGATGAGACAATAAACATGATGGTTGCAGAAAAGGAAGGGAAATGGCTTTTATGTTTTGCAGAAGATATCACCAAAGCAAAGATCTCGCTCATTATAGTGATTCACTGAAAATCAATTTATGCAGTTATAGCTTTGTGTAATTGTAGTAAAAATCAGTGATCTGGTATGTAATTATATCTAAATAAGATAAATTTGACATCATACAACAAATATAGCAAAAAATAAAAATAAAGCAATAACAATGTATAAATGATGACAGCGAGAAGAACGTGGAATCATTTAACAATTAACATACTATAAAAGGGCCACTATTTGTGTTTCGAGTTTAATTAGAGAAATAACAGCTTGTGTACCAAAACTGTAAGTGATGAGGACTCGTTTGGGGGACACATAGGGTTATGAACATTCCCAAAATCTTAAAACTCTCCATTGAAATTGGGTTCAAATTTGTTACTAGAAATGGGAAGAATGTTTGCCAAAGGGAAAAAGTTTTCCATCTTCCATGTCTGGGACATTATTAATATAGATGGTATTGATTGGAGGCATGGAATCAAAGGTGGTCGGATTGACCCACTGAATGTCATGGATGCTGGGTTGACGTTTAACCATTGGAGTCAAATTGTTTTGTCGTCGAAAGTACTTCTGTGCATGGCTAGCAACTTGAGTTGGAGGACATAATGCCTTGAGATGCTCCTCCAGTCTCCTTTCTCATACTTGTTCAGTCCCATGAGAATAGCCTGAAAGAAAAATTAATTAAATATACTAGAAAACGATATCACTAGAAAAATATGGCGAAATTTGTCATAAAAGTGCATCAAGAAAGAAAGTTGATCGCACTAGAAATGTAAGTGTTGAAAATTAGCCCCCGTTTGGCAAATTTATAAG